AATTTATAGCCTATATCTTATTCTGATGTACCTATTATTACTGTAAAGTTTCTTTAAAATTCGTTCTGTAGTTTTTGCGTGAAAGAGTAACAAACATTAACAACACAGTAACGCGTTTATAATATTAATAAGATAACATGTATTTAAAAAAAATGTATTTATATCAGTTGTCTAGTAACTACAACTCTGCTTAGCTTGGGACTAGATGGCGCTGTGTCAGTTAACCTAAGATATTATGATATTATTATTCGTATACGCGTCTATTGTGATTAAGCGGTGTGATAATTGGTTTCACACCGGTTAATCACTGTTTTGATATTATTATTTGAACCCGCGACCATCGGAACTATACCAGTACTCTAACTACTCAACCACCAGTCATGTCATTTAAAACAAAGCATCATAAACCATTGATCCGTCAAAACTAGATATTCTGGTTTCTATCGACACTTGAGGTGAGTGGAGCGAAAACTAATTGAGTGATGCACTACTTATTTTAAATACAATGGTATTATGTAACCACATGTATTCTGGAATGTATTGGCCCTATTTTTTTTAGGGTTCGGAACTTAACATGTACTGTATTTTTACGTCCATCTGTCCGTTATTTATTTATTTACTAGTTTGTCCGCGTGGAATTTGACTTTATTTTTCTAAAATAAAAGTAGTCTAAGTTACTCCTTTTACATCAGCTACTTGCCAAAAAAGTCCTATTAATATCGGTCCAGACATTTCAAAGATTAGTCGGAACAAACAAACAAACAGACAGACAAACATTGTAAAAAATGTTATTTTGGCGTATGTACCGTATTTATATTTGCATGTAGTAAAAAATGGTTATTTCAATATTACAAACAGACACTCGAATTTTATTTATATGTATAAATAATAATAAATTTGTTTATTTCAAATTCGTATGTTATACTTAATTCTGTATTTTAAGATAATATATCTGTCAAGAGACTAGAAACGATAGTTTCTAGATAAAAATTAAAAAAAAAGGCAAAATAGGCAAAGTCACGGTATAATACTAGCAGACATTTCTATTAGAATACATCATACATTAGCGCCATCTGTATTCTAATAGAAATACATATAGAAAACCTGCAATGACTGCTAATATGGAAACGGTCGATAGTGCGAACGGATTAGAAAGTATCACAAGTTTGTTTTGATTCTCGTGATCGCCAATAGAGGGCCGATTGCCTGATATGTCGATAAATAGCTACCTCCAAGCTAAATATTATTGATAATTATTATTAATAATAATTTGGTATATGTATCAAATGTACATACGATACATATGCCAAAATAACACTTTTTACAATTTTTGTCTGTCTGTCTGTTTATTACGGCTAATCTCTGAAATGACTGGATCGTTTTTAACAGGACTTTTATTGGCAGGTAACTGATGTAATAAGGAGTAACTTAGACTACTGAAATGACTGGATCGATTTTAACAGGACTTTTATTGGCAGGTAACTGATGTAATAAGGAGTAACTTAGACTACTTTTATTTTACAAAAATAAAGTTAAACTCCACGCGGACGTAGTCGCGGGTACAGCTAGTTATCTAATAAATTTAAATGTTTTTTTTATTATTTCAATTGTATACAAAGAATTGTAATAACCAGAGCACAACATTAATGTAATTAAAGAAATAAAATGTTCTAGAGAGATTATGAGAAATAATAATACTTAATCTATGAGAAAACTTTTTTTTTAAACAAAATTGTATCATCTAGAACATGCTTGAACCAATTGAAAAAAAACTAGCATAATAAAAGATTAGTTCAATTATTCTTTAATTTTTACTTGATATTTTATTGAAGTTACCACCTGATTTGCTGTTCCAGTGAGATAAAGAAAACCCTATGAGTAAAATCCTCTGCCCTCTACAGTACATAGTAGGAAAACAATTACTCCTAGACTGTATGTTTAAAAAAAAAGCAACAGCGTGTGATAGTACATAACAATAGTACAATATACGCTTTGTTTGGTGTTTAGCAAGCTGAGTTCATTGTAGTACTAGCTGGCCCGTGCAACTTCGTCTGCGTTTCATTTCCCCACTTTTGCAATATTTATCATTACAGCTCCGCTCCTATTGGTCGTAGCGTAACGTTATGTAGCTTAAAGCCTTCCTCGACAAATGGACTATCCAACACAAAAAGATATTTTCAATTCGAACTAGTAGTTCCTGAGATTTACGCGCTCAAACAAACAAACTCTTCAGCTTTATGTTATTCGTATAGATTGTTATGTATGTTAAAGTTAAAACCTTCCTCGACAAATGGACTATCCAACAGAAAAATTCTTTTTCAATTCGAACCAGTAGTTCCTGAGATTAACGCGTGCAAACAAACAAACTCTTCAGGTTTATATTAGTTATTATGTAACTTAAAACCTTCCTCAACAAATGGACTATCCAACACAAAAAGTCTTTTTCTATTCGAACCAGTAGTTCCTGAGATTAACGCGTGCAAACAAACAAACTCTTCAGCTTTATATTAGTTATTATGTAACTTAAAACCTTCCTTAACAAATGGACTATCCAACAGAAAAAGTCTTTTTCTATTCGAACCAGTAGTTCCTGAGATTAACGCGTGCAAACAAACAAACTCTTCAGCTTTATAATGTAGGTATAGATTAAATATATGTGTAGTACAAATGAGACCAATTCTAGCAGTCCAACAACTTGCCACATCTGTACTTCTAAATAGATCTGCGTTAAGAGCGTAAACTGTGGGTATTAAGAAAATACTTATGTTAGTCCAAACTTATTTAATTACAGTGTAATTAATATAATATATAAATGTAATTAAATCGTGGTAACCAGAGAGAAAAAGAATCAATGGTATTTATTTATTACAATTGTAACTGGTGAGCAATAACACCATATCAAGGATGGCATTAATACTACTTTCCTGTCGGTGATGCAAATCATATAAGTTATTCACATGGCCCTATGGGACTTCTGTATAATTACCATAGACTCGAAAGATAAAATAATTATTTATTGCTTGCAATAATCTGTAACAGTTATTAACCTCTAGCTCTATATAACATTGTAGAGATAAATTATGAATATGACGTCGTAAATAAACTATTTTTGAGCCTACATTGCAAACGCTGAACCATCTATATCATAACGCATTTTATAAATCATATAGACCACAGTTATATAATAGTTTATAGACAAACATACGGTCTAATATCGGATGGGGTAATCAAAGGCATTGTTGATATCATAGTGAACACAACTCTTGATATAGTGACCATGTGGCCAGGGAGCGAGCCTACTGCGCCGTACCACAGATAACATAATATTACATAGCCGTACCACAGATAATATAATATTACGCCGTACTAAGCCAGTTTTTATTATCGACTAGCTGTTCCCGCGACTTCGTTCTCGTGGAATTTAATTTACTTTTTTCTAATATAAAAGATTTTTTCCAAAATAAAAATAGTCTAAATTACTCCTTATTACATTATCTACTTGCCAATAAAAGTCCCGTCAAAATCGGTCCACCCATTTCAGAGATTAGCCGGAACAGACAGACGGACAAAAATTTTATAAAATGACATTTTGGTGTATATACCTTATTTATATTCATATGCATGTAGTAAAAAACAATTATTTTAATATTACAAACAGACACTCCAATTTTATTTATATATATATATAATTTCTAATCAAATCAAATCTTTAGTCATGTCTGTCAAACAGACTCTTATCAAATCTACCTTCCGTTTGGAGTGCTCGATATAAGAAGAACTGAGAAGAGATTCAGCTCGAATTCTTTTCAAATAAGCTTGTTTATTATTACAAAAATAGATTAATCTTTAAATTCAATTTGGGAGAATGTGTGATCAGCATATGCTATTACATTTTTGTCATAAGGAAATAATTTAATCAGTAGCCGCAATAGAACAGATTATTTACCATCCGATGAGCCATATGCTTGTTTGCCACCTTTGTATAATAAAAACATAGTTAGACAGACATAGTTGCATAGAGTTTTACGAAAATAGTTATTCGCAAGCGAAGACGGGGGCGTGCCGCTAGTTTCTGATAGCTTGATAAGGAAATGTAATAACTATGTACAAACCCATTCATAACAAAAGTTTACCAACATCGCTAACTCTACAAAGTTTAACCTTAACCTAATGTTACGTAAAGTTCAAACAGTATTAACCGTATCTCGTAACAACTCAGATGACTATCGACTTGAGGTAATTTACTTGCGAGATATTTTTTTAAATTTACTGTTAGTTATTTATTAACGTTTTCGTAAAACGAAAATAATTATTCCAAACACACAATAGAAAACACTTTCTAAATATGAATAGAATAAAATTGCTCTATCAAATGATAAATATATAATAATAATAATAATTATTTTTAATTATATATTTATCATTTGACAGAGCATTGCTTAAAACAATTGGAATAATTATTTTTGTTTTACGAAAAGGTTAATAAAAAACTAATAGTAAATTTAAAAAAATTCTATTAAATTACCTCAAGTCATATTTAGAAAGTGTTCCTTTTACACCTTTTTATTGGGCTATAAAAAGTTATAATTACTTATTCATATTGTATAAAAAGACTATATTTTATTATTTTAACGACTTACTTAGTTATAGTAGTATTGAAAATTTTCAAAATATCAGAATGCATAGACAACTATTGACATAAATTTGTTCGCTAGCTCATTCAGTATTAATGTATTAATTGACCAATAAATGCTATTTAAATCATAAATATGAATAAATAATGAAATAAAGTGAAGCTTATTTTATGTAAAAACAGATTGGGTTCGTAGTTTTAGTATGTCGTTGCGCATGCGCCGATAATAATATTTATTATACAACCAACGCTGCACAAAAAAACTTTCGAAGGTCATTTATTGTTGTCGTTTGGTCACACTTCTATCTTTAATCATTTATCGACCTTTCCGCATTTCATCCACAAATAGAAATAAAACATACAAACATTTGATTTTTATTTTATTTTCATGTCTTTAGTATTTTACAGTCGACTTAGCCTAAGGAATTGGTAACCTTTTTTTACTCGTATCACAACGTACATTCATGTACTTATATACATGTATGACATGAAATTTTTATATAAATATAGAAAAAGTTATGTTGCTTGCGTCCCGGCCTTGAGATTTGGCGAGATTTGAAGGTTACTCTGATTGACGAAGAACACTCGGACGTAACTATTCTATTATAATCTAATGGCTGTAGTAGTTGCCTCCAAGGCTGTATTGGCTATAACCAAGGCTCAACGGCTGTTGTCCTACGACGACTGGGACCTTGACTGGGACGGGGACGGCCTTCTCAACGGGGACGGCGTAGGGCCTGTCGACCGCAACAGGGACGGGCCTGTCGACGGGAACGTTGATGGGGACAGCGACGGGCCTCTCGACCGCGTATGGGACAGTCTTGTAGACGGGGTATGGCTCTGGCACTGGCACCTTCACGGGGACAGCGACGGGCTTCTCAACTGGGACGGCGTAGGGCCTGTCGACTGGGACGGACACTGGGACAGCAACGGGCCTCTCGACGTGCACGGGGTATGGCACTGGTTTCTCAACTGGGTAAGGAGCGGGTACTTGCACTGGGACGGGCCTGTCGACTGGGACCTTGACGGGGACACCGATGTGTTTCACGACGGGGTAGGGCTGGGGAACTGGTACTTTAACTTCTACGGGGTATGGCACGTGTCTCTCCACGGGGTAGGGTTGTGGCACGGGGACCTTAACTGGGTAAGGGACGTGCTTCTCAACTGGGTAGGGTTGGGGTACTGGTACGTGTACGGGGTAAGGCCTGTCGACGGGTACGTGGACGGGGACTGGTACTTTCCTTTCAACTGGGTATGGGGCTGGTACATGGACGGGGACCTTGACGTATTCCCGGACGGTCACTGGCACGTGTTTGACGACCTCGTAGGGTTGGGGTACAGGGACCTTGACGGGGTAAGGTACGGGCCTCTCCACGGGGTAGGGTACGTGTCTCTCGACGGGGACGGCGACTGGGACTCCCTTAACGAGGGTGACTGTCCTGGTGACGTCGGTGCGTTCTCCAAGAGGGATTGAGCCGTAGCTGCTGGCACCGAGGTATCCGTTATCGATGACATTGTAAGCTCCGCCTACTGCTCCGGCGTTGCCAATGTATCCAAGGTCCAGACCGTTGATGCCGTATCCATAGCCAAGGTTGAGGAGACCACGTTTGTCCAACTTCTTCTCCAAAGGCTCAGCCTTCTGCTCTGACTTCTTTTCGCTGGCAGCAGCCACTGCTACCAGCAGGAAAACTAAGCAGAACTGTAAAGAAGAAAAACATTGTTAAGATTCACTGCAAAAAAGGTACCAATGGATAAGATGAAGAAAGTTCTAACTGTTAAAAATAGTAGAAATTTTAAGGTATTTTAGCCTTAACTTCATTGTCTTGTTGCAAATTTAAATGACGAAGATAGCGCTGTTGGCTGTACATAGTTCAAACTAATCATTAACCACTTTTTCTCTATCCCTGTTTAACATATTGCTCGAATATAGGCCATTTCCCACTCCATTTCTCACTCATCTTGTGATTAAAAAAACAGATCTTAGCAACAATTAACAACCTATACGCATACCTACTAATTTAAAATGAAGACATTAAACCCAAGGCACTTGTTTGAAGACACTAATAACCCAATAACTGTGCCAGTTTGCACATACAGATAATAATCAGTTCGATTCCCAAGGCGTTACTGTTCAGTAAACAGACGATTGCACATGCAAAATGGTGTAGGTTGTTTACGCAAGCGTACATAGCGCAACCCCCGTAGGAAAACTTTGCACCATAGTGCTTATTGAAGTATTTCATAGTATTTCATATGCGTATGCTCCATTGCTGTTTACCATATAATGCAATTCGCATACTGTCTTAATATTGAGAAAATATTTCACGGTCAATACTGTTTACTTTATTAATTGTTAATTATCTTTATTATACAACGAAATGCCTCCTGCCGCGTCTATTTGTGTATTTGAGATTACCTCAAAAAGTATTAAACAGATTTACATGCGGCTTTCATTCGTCAACAGATTGATTTCCAAGGAATGTTTAGGTGTATATATTTAAGAAGGCTTTATGTAAATTGATTGAAATATCCATATGAAGCCGGAGCATGTATGTAGTTTCATATATTTAATATAGCAATTTATTGTTCTTGTTTATTATTATCGAGTCTTAGCTAATTTAAATATGTATCTTTTATTGGTTAGGCTCTTCATATAGTTTGCGGCGAGGATTGATAACGGTTTTTGTGAACCAAAATTGTAAATTAAAATTATATTAGATCTAGTTCAGGCAATAGTTACATCACTAAAATATTATGTCAGATTATTTCGAAATGTCCGATAGAAACATTATTGATGTGCCAAAAGTAACAGTTAAACAATAACATTGCAGTACGTTAAAAAGAACATAAATATGGACCAATTGAATATTTTATTCATTGAAATTTAGTCAATAGAACGTTTAAATTTGAATATTAAAATTTAATTCGTATTTTAAATTTAATATTTATCATTTAATGTCACGGATATGTTATTTTAGAATTAGATAATGTTTCAAAAACTAGATGAGCAGGATTCACAAGGTTATATTTAAATTTATTGTTAACGGTTTTATTTTTTTGATCAGAAATCAGTGAGTTAATATTAAATATGCTAAAAGAGTATTTTTATAATGTTAATAAATTCTATTATGTAATTTTTAGATGAAACCGAAAAGCTTTGAGATTTTTGTCCTGCATATTTTGAACGACAAAGTCTGAAGGCAAAATTACATGTCTAACCGTAGCCTATACGAGTAGATATTAAAAAAAAAATTTCAACAGTAAAATATTTCAGTGCATTTTTAAACAATTTGAAACTTTTCTTTTTAACCAAATGACAAAGAAAAAGTTTATTCCGTTCGTTTTTAACTGATCTTTGATTTTCAATAGTACTTTCATTGTCATATCAGTAAAGTACCTATATCAAGTTCAAGTACCTTTGAGATAATTTATAAACTCATTTGTTTTTATATTCGATCATAAAGTACCTTATACTCGTATATCGAATAATCGAACGCGTATTGGTAAGTAATCGGATGATTAAATAACACCTGACTCATCACTACAACAAGATTTGATATGTAACAAATAAGATATTTATGTCACGGATCGAGGTACACGTTAACTCGGCCACAAATCCTGGACATCAGTGAAAATCTCATTGTTATTCTTAAAGCAAACGAGATAATAAAATTGTGACATCATAATAAACTTTCTGTGGACCGTCATAAAAACCCTATCATAATGTTTGTAGTTACATATATACATATATCTTATGGCTTTTACCGTACACGTATTATCATTGACTTAACATAGTATCAACATAGTATTTTTTATGTTTATGTTAGATAAAAATTACGTTTTATTATACTGCAACACGCGAACAGTTTGAAATGAATCAATAAATAAATATTTATATTTTATAATTAGTAACAAAATTAACAATTCAAATTTGATTATATTATAAGTAGGTATTTATTAAAAACCAAGTGCTGAAATTCCATTTTATTGTTTGACAGAAACTATGCTAATCAGTACGTATAGTGAACGAGGCCAGGGCAGAGATCGGGTTGCCTCGTGGGATACTGTTACTTCTTACGCCGATATTTCGTAACTTGAACAGTTGCTTACCTAACGGCAACCGATATTTATGAATCGAATGATTTTTTGCTGCTATCGAATTAGCAATTAACGATTTACGAGTTGTAAACATGATACAGAATAACATCTTTATTTTGTAAGTAAATATCATTTAATTTTAAGTACAGTTTAACAATAATAATCTGAATCTCAATAAGGTTACTAAATGTAATTTTAATTTAGTAGATTGTTTAGTATTTATTGCAAAGGATAATGAAAACTTAAAAAAGTCACAAAATGAACTTTAATTATAATGACTATAGGGTATGAAATTATATTATCACTTTTAAGCATCAAAACGGTTCTATATATTTTAAGGAAATACTAGAAAAATACTATCTATTTCTGTTGCACTACTGACATTTCATTGTACATAGTCCAATGAATCTAATCTGAATAAATAGGATCTATATATAGACAATTTTCGATTAGTCATAGCAAAATGTCTGGTAAATAAATGCAGGTGCCACTTGTATTAAATAAGTCCATGGATAAACTAATTAACAACTATCAACTATTGCAAATCCTTTCTGCATCAAATAATAGGTTATATCGACTAGTGATGTGACATTTAATGGAACATGTTATCAATTCGGTATCTCGTTTAAGTCTAACGATATTTAAAGTATTTCTACATTCTATGATTGCAACATAATGATATTTATCATATATGTTAACATATAATTTTCTGTCACAATGATTTTTAAGTAATTTGTTCTTGCGTTGACGATGGGGGAAATGACTTCATTTTGTTTACGACACCCATTTGCATAGTATTCCAATCACATTAATTTACCCTAGATACTTAAGCAATAACCGCCTCGCAATAAAATACATCAGGAAGAGTATTGCCTGTTTCTAAATTGAGAAAATCTGTATAAATGTCTACAGAAATTAATCGCGGTTTAAGTAAAAGCTTACTTATTGTCAAAACATCATTATGTAGTGTAACATCGTTAACTTTACATATAACAACTTTATATTTTACGTTAGATATGTTTCTCTAAAATTGGAATTTCTAATATCTGATATTTTATTACATAATTTAAGTATGAGTCATTTTCTTAAAAAAACATAATTTTTAATATAACATTGATAACTTTAAGTAGCAAAATAGATGTTCTAAATTAAGTCTACACTGACTTAATTTAGAACATTTAGATCTAACGATTTTCTATTTTTATCTCAAGTATTGTTTCTCTAAATTTGGAGTTTCGAATGACTAATATTTTCTTATGTATATTTGAAAATGTATCATGAAATTGTCATAGTAGTAATTAATAATGAGTTTAGGTTAAGTAAATATTAAGCAGCGGTACAAAATACATTCATTCTCACGTTCTTATCATTTCCAATTCAAATTATGGAAAACATTCCCATGAATGCAGTAAAGAATGTTCTCAAAGAGTCTTGAATGTCTCCAACTAAAGGTAGGTGTAAAACTATGTAGCCACCGTCAATGATACAACATCCTGATTTAGGTATTACGTATTAAGTCAAGTTTTAATAAAATCTACTCGTTTTTCTATGCAAAGTCTGGGTTGAGCGTACAGGTTTTAATCATAGCCCTTTTAAGGTGAGCCAGCCAATACCAGGACATTTTACGCAATTATTTGTCCTCGTTTCTTTGTATTAATAAATCATTTTGCTATTTCCTCAATCAGAGGGCAAGTAATGATTGATAAATATAGTGAAAACTGTTATATCGACGATGAATTACATATTTTAATGAAAACCGAATCATGGCCATTTTGTGATATTGGTAGACGTTTTAACTTTGTTTTTTCTGTTGATTATTTTATAATTTTATTTATCTGCCATCTAATGTTTACGAATGAAAGAAACGTAACATTACGGGAATATAACAGGTTTTTCTACAAAACTATTGATATCATAACAATGGGTATGATATTCAAAATAAAAGCCATATCTAGTCTTTATCGGTTTTTAAAGAAATAATGATAAGTTTACTTATATTTTCGCATCTTTAAGGTATGTAGGCTAAGTGGATTAGCGGAATTTATTAAAGAAAATGTCGTGTGTAACATATAAATATTCATTTAAAGTGTTCATTTTTAATAAATAAGATGTAGATATTATGGAATACAGTAATGCTATTTTTCGCATTGTCCAACGAACTTTACTATTTTAGTGATGTAATGCAACATTAAAAACATATTTCTATAACAACCTGTTCTGAAAATATAACACTTACTGAAGCGTAACTAGCGAAAATAAATCATTCATGAATATAATAACTGATGCGCTTCGTTTGTTTGTGTTTTTATTGTCTATACAATTATATAACAATACTGTGGAATCTCTATCGAAACCCGTTTGATGAGGATTGTATTGGAAAATGTTTAACGTTTTAGTTCCTGTACACTCTTCCTAGTTCTAGACTAGTTGGTAAACTAGTCTGTCTAGATTTAACAGTGAAAATAGGCATTGTGATGCAATAGGTGATGAGTCAAAACTTTTGTTTTATCTTTTGTAGGAGATGCTTCTAAGACTAATATTATATTGAATATCATATAATATTCATTATTATCATGATTTACTTTATAATTATTAATGTTAACAGGTAATAATAATTTGAAATATAACATCAATACCGTGACTGACGCACTTTTTTATATACCGATATTGTTTTTTTATTTTTTATAGAAAAATATTGTTTTATCTTTTTTTTATGTACTTTTCTTTCGATACATAGAAAACATTATTTCTTCCTAAAAACCGTTCCCTAATTAAATTTACCAGTATTTTTTATACTATGATGTTGACAAACAAGCATATGGCCCATCTGATAGTAAACGGTTACTGTAGCCTATGGACGTCTGAAACACCAGGGGTGTCACGTGCGCGTTGCCGACCCTTAAGAAACCTTAATATACCCTTCTTGAAAAACCTCAAGCTGTAGTCTAATAATAATATAGTTCTTTCGCTCGAAATACAATTAGTTATTGGAATAACAGGATAGAAAAGCAACTTCTAATAAAATAATATAATTAATTTGATTCGTTTATGCATGATTGAACTATTAGATATATATATAGAACATGACTGAACTGTTAGATATATATTAGAACGGAACAATAAGTTTTTTACATTTTTATATTTTACTTTACTTTATGTATATATTTTTTAAATTAACTATTTGATATTTTATATAATTGAAACGTAACTTCAGAATACTGTTAATGCTTTATAGTTATTATTTTGCATTAACATATAGAATCAATAACTTGTAAATTGAATGAAAATTATGCATTGAATTCTATAGCAGATGATGAAGCTAGTCAATATTATTTCAATAAACTGCACTATTTTTTATTCGAGTAAAAAACCGATAATATTTATAACAAAGGAAGAGTTGACTTCAAAAAAGTGTGTCACATCCCGCCGTGAAAAACACAATCGATACCGATTGATTCACAATCGATAATAATTGTAACACTATCGCAACACTAGCCATCGGCACGGGACACACTGGGAGTTCCGAAACACTTTTTTGAAGTCATCACTTGCACTGCACTACACAACACTTTGTCACTAGAGACGCCACTCACCGTTTTCATTATGCCTCTTGAACGGTGGTTGATGTCGGGAATCGGACTGGATGCCATTCGAATAGTGTCGTGTGTTTTTATAGGTGGATATTTGGTAGCACTTTCGCCAGTGCCCCCCTAGTACTTGGAATATGCGTCTCGTTTGATTCTGTGCGAAGTCCTTCGTATTTGGCCGGCCGTTGGCGGGAGACACACGCGCCGCGCGTTCCAAACTTGAATTTTTTTTTATTCATAATCGCATATTGTGTTTTTAATTTTCTAAACAGCCAGTTATATCGTTTTTAATTGAATTAAAAAAAATAATACTTTGTTATACAAAATTATAAAAGGATCAATATTTTAAATTTGTAAACGAGTACATTTAACAAGATTAGGAAATGTCATAATTTGAAATTATTGTTTTAATTACAGTGTTATTATTACTCTGTGGTACTTGATAGCCATGAGATAATTTCTTGCTTGTAGTGAAAAACAGCATACCAATAAACCACTATAATGTATGTAATATCACAATATTACAAGTCTGTAATTACTTAGTATTAACCTCAAATGCAACGTAAAGTAATATATATTGAGTACTAAATAAGTGAAGAGTACTTCATACTTATTGAAGACATCATCAGTACAAGTTTCATTTTTTCGAGCTGAATTTAAAACAATAAGAATTAATAGAAATGGACCGCCTCAGTGGTCTAGCGGTTTAGCACACCGCCTTACTTCCGATGTTCGCGGGTTCGATTCCTCACACGGTGCAAACATTTGTATTCATGAGTATGATTGTTTATATTCGTCTGGTTGTTTTCTATATATAGATTATGTATGTATTTACAAAAAAATCTAAGTGTTTATATCCGTTGTTTAGTAACAATAACCCATAACTCAAGTTCTGCTTATCGGCCTAGATGGCGATGTGTTAATTGTCGTTATTTATAATTAAAGAAAAATGTTAATAATATCAAATTAATAATGTAACATCAGATTTCTAAGAGTCTAGTTAGTGTTGTTGATATGTAACGTTAAATACAGTATTGTTCAAACAGTTGATGTGATTCCCACGTCTGATATCACAAAATTAAAAAAAAACTAAAATTTTAAAACATTACATATCCAAACCCAAAAGAGTCGAACTTCTTAGCATTCCGTGAATTCGTGGTGCGGGTGCCGGGTCCATCGTGTAGCAGAGAGGGATACTCCGAGCTGTTCTCGGATCTTAATTTAAAAAAACCGCCTAAATTTTAAAACATTACATCTCTAAATTCAAAAGAGAGGAACTTCTTAGCATTCCGTGTATTCTCCATGCGGGTGCAGGGTCGATCATGTAGCAGAAACTTCAATGTTCTCGGGTTCCTTAGTTCTATATTGCAAAAGATTTTTTGAATACTTAAAAAAAATATTTCCGAAGTTGCGATAAGTATGTGTTACCAGTTAAATAAATTCTTTGAATCACATAAATCGCTACGTTAATCAAAATATTTAATGTTAATGCTCATATTAAGTAAATAAATAAATATTAACATATCATTTTTTATTAGATAAATTATATTTTCAGTGGCAATTGTATTTGTATAATATCCACATAATTAGTCTAAGAAAAACATATTTTTTTTAACGTTGGACAATTTACACAACGCCATCTAGTTAAGCAGAGCTTGTGTTATGGGTACTAGACGACTGATATAAATACTTAGACATTTTTTTGTAAATATATACATAGAAAACACACAGACCAATATAAACAATTATACTCATGAATACAAATGTTTGCATCGAACCCGCGACCATAGGAAGTAAAGCGATGTGTTAAACCGCTAGACCACCAAGGCTATTAAATACATTATTATAATATTAATATTTAATAGTAACACTACGTTTCTTCAAATTATATAACTATTTTCCTACCTCTTCAATCGTATCCTCAGACAATTTTCTTTAATAAATAAATAACTTATTTTCTTAATATATTTTCTTAAGAACATCAGTTTTGAATAAGAAATATGACTATTCAAAAAAATATCAAGCATTATTAAGTTTACTTGAATATAGATTATTTCTGTTTCTTCATTATTATTACTAGACATATAATATTAAAAACAAGAAGACGAGGTTTAAAAAGTGGAGGATGATAGGATGAGCATGAGGTCAGGTCAGGTAGCCCACGATTTCCACTAATTCCCAACAATGGGATAAGCAGGTCATTGCATCGAGGAAATGCCTCTTCCGCCCTAATGATACGTTCTGGTTAACTTTTTACGAGATTAATTCTGTACCCACGCGGAAACTGGCTGTTAATAGTTTTATTAACGATTTATTGTAAAAAAAACTCGCTCAGTGCACATTTAACATTAAGTCAAGGTTCTTTGTTGTATTATTCGTTTTGGACTGCAACAATATTGTAATACTTGACAAATTTATTTACGGTCACTGTGGTTTAGCGGTTTAGTACCGTCCTACTTCCGATGCTCGCAGGTTCGATTCCTAGTACAGTACAAACTTTGGTTATCATGAGTATGATTTTTGTGATCCATCTGGATGTTTTATATATGTATTATAAATGTATTTATAAACAAATATCTATGTATTTATATAAGTTGTCTAGTAGCCAAAACACAAGCTTTGCTTAGCTTTGCACTAGATGGCGCTGTGTGAATTGTTCTGAGATATTATTATTACTATAGTACACAACTAATTTTAGGATATTCTAACTTCTCCAATATTTACTACCATTCATTGAAGTCCATTTAATTATTTAATGGACTTATATAATCTTGTTTAAATTCGCTACCGATAGCATGTGTGAGACCACAAATAACGATACAAACAATCATACTCATGAATACAAATATTTGCACATGCGAGGATTCGAACCCGCGACCATTGAAACTGCTAAACCACTATACCACCGAGGCCGTCCTCGTGTATTATTTAGAGATTTGGTACCGGAGGGATGATGTGATATAATTGTAATTAAATGCGTAAATTTACAAACTTCTATTTATATTTATACAACACTACACGTGAAATATAAAAAAATCTCGATTTCCGCTAACGCATAACAATATCCTTCAATCGGTTGTATAATAACAATCTATTATTAACAATATTCGAAAGGCTTTATATAAATATATAAATATAAATGCGTAGAAACTGTACATGTTAAATAACAACCAATAATAGTAACAACAGATACTAAACAATATATATTCTTTAATGGACAAACTTAACACCTCGGTTTTCTCCCAGTCAACCATTGATATATAACAAATTCAAATATATATAATTCACTTTAATATGATTAAATATAAGTACATATGACTTATAAACTATAATACATAATATGAATAAATAATTATACATATATAAATATTACAACAGCCAAACCAGATACTGGACGGATCGGGTGAGGAATTCTATTCGGACATGTAACGGATATATAACAATCTAAATATATATAATTCATAGGTGACTGACATAGTGATCTATCAACAGCCAAACCACTGGACGGATCCGCTAAGAAGAAAGGATTTTGATTAATTCTACACCTAAAGGGATAACTTAACGCGAGCGAAGCCGCGAGCAAAAGCTAGTTAAAATTAAATTTCTAATATATGATTCCTTCCAGCATTTCGACAGTTGGTTATTTTTTTAAATCTTACTAATAATATTAGTAAGATTTTAAAAAGATTTTAAAACCGAAAGTTTGCTGGTTTGGATGGGTGTTTGTTACTCCTTCACGCAAAATTCTAAAGATCTTAAAAACCACATATTAAGCAATAAATTATAAAAATAAAAAAAAATACAAACTACCGAATAGATTTTAATGTAACTTGCAATGATCTAAGGGGGAAAGACAATTATTATTATTATTATTGGGGCCTAATGTCGCCATTGCTACCAATGTACCATGTTAGATCGACCTCCACGCGGTTCCCCCCGGGCACCATAGTGGTTAATTCCTGGTTATTTAATCACGATGGCCAAACTGACCTGACCTCATGCTCATCTTATCATTGCCAGCGTAAACCGTCAGCGTACGCTGTGCACAATTCCATTATCATCAAAATATATATATATATAGCATATACATGTGATTATCATATAGGTTTTAAATTTCACGCGAAATGATCCTGAATAATTCACACACACCTTAATTTCGCCATCAGCTTTCAAAATAAGGATATCTTGTGTTGTGGTACTAGACAACTGATATAAATACATAATCACATTTTTTTTAAATACATACATAATATACATAGGAAACAGCCATACCAATACAAACAATCGTACTCCTGTATACAAATATTTGTACTGTTCTAGGAATCGAACCCGCAACCATCTGAAGTAAGGCGGTGTGCTAAACCTAGAGCATCATTGATTTAATCATCGAAATTATTATATTATTATATGATAGATAGGAATCATATAATAATTTGGATGATATATTTGTATTACATAAAACAGTTTTTTTATAACTAGTATGTAATACAGCAAATATTGGTTGCAAAGATATAACACATAACCTCTTTTATACCACCATGGTGGCAAACAAGCATACGGCCCATACTGTGGGCCGGCAACGCTGTAAAAAAAAAAATTGCGAGAAACAAGATATAGCATATGCCACTCTGGATTTATATACTTTCAAATAATTCGCTGTTTTCAAACACGAACGTTCAAATTGGTGCAGCGACATCAAAAACATTTTTCTCTCTTTCTCTTCATATTATTAGTATACATTACATATAACAAATTATATAATTTACGTACATATTTACAATTGTACAGATAACGCCACAGCAAAAGCTATGTCAACGTAATTCGAAAGGCAATGATCGAGATAATTGATCCTGATTCGCGACCGGTTATTAACCTTGAACTCGGCTCTGCTTGCCCTAAAATGAGTGCACTGATCGGATAGCACTAAAAAAGTCATATCCGTCAGGCAGGAGTTGGCCTTCAGCTGGTCCATAAGTACTTTCGGTTTGGAGTGCCATCTGCACTCATTCGATGAAGCTGTAAAGGCCAGCTGCAGCCAACATTGAAATGGATAAAAAAAAACA